ATCTGTATCTGTATCTGTATCTGTATCTGTATCTGTATCTGTATCTGTATCTGTCATAGAACTACTCGGAAGAGTAGTAGTAGATAAGAGGGTCTTCTATCGCAAAATACGTTCTGAAAGGCATTTACATTTACATACATACATCTAAATGTATATATGTATGTAGTGGTTGACAGTGGTTGATGACACTTACCCAATACCAGGACAGCCGGCACGACCACTCGCTGCAGCATCAGACAAGCGTAGCTGAAGGCCATTTTGTAGCAAGTGTGGATGCAATGTGGTTAAGCTTGGATGAGTGCTGCTGCTCTCGCTCCTCCCGCTCCTCCTCCTCCTCGTCCTCCTCCTCCTATTTCAGCTGCTGTTGCTGTTCACGGCTGTGCGGCTGTGCGGCTGTGCCCCGTGCCTTGACTCATTCATAAAACTTGCAGGCGCAACAGCAATTGCTATTTCTGTGGGCCACCGCTGTGTGAGGACGCAGCGCAGCGCAGCTGGAAATGCAAAAGACAAAAAAGCAAAAAGAGGGGAACGAAAGGAGAATAGAGAAAATAAATTAGAAATTATATTAGATAAGCGACAGGCGGGCGGGCGGGCGGTCGGTTGGCAGGGGGCGTGGCACGCAACTGGAGCTGTCAGAACACGTTACGCCTAATGGCAACTGGCAAGAGGAAGCGTTTTGGCCCAAGTGCAGCCAACCAAGTGACTGCGCCCTGTTGCGCTTGTCAAGCTTCCTTCCACTAATACTCCTGCCTGCTGCCTGCTGCCTGCTGCCTCCTGCTAGCCGCCTCCTGCCCACACTCTTAAAGCTTTAAGTAGTTTGCCAGCAACTTTTTAATCTCTTGACTTATAAACATTAACTTGGTTTTAATTACAACTAAAAAGCAACAAATAAAACGGTTTTTGGCTGTCGCACAGTTTTGGGCGCGTCCTGTGCGATAAGCAGGATACATACACACACATACACACCTATGCCCACACACACACACACACTGAGTGTCGTCTGCTCTTGTGGGCATGTCTGTGACAGTAGTCGCTGCCACACAGCGCACGCCATCCCAACTTGGGTTGGGTTAGTTTCAATTTAAGTTTTCCGCTTTGGCTTTTATGCGCGGGTTTGGCTCCTTCTAAAAAGGATCCACAGAACCTGTCGCCTGCCTGCCTGCCTGCCTGCCTGCCACATGTAATTGACATTCAACGTGCCACATTATGTGGCATTTATATGCATACGCCTTGCGATTACGTTTAGCTAAATCGAACACACATTAGTAGCTCATCCGGAGAGTGAGTTTTAGTAAAGGAAAATTTAACAAAATTATTCTGTTCATGAATGGAGATTAATGGCTATTATAGGTATAAATATAGCTAAAATAAACAACAGTTTTCAACACTATATTTTTCATAAGGAAATAATTTAAAAACTAATGAAAGTTTCTTTAAGAAACAAGAAAATATAAAGATTGTTTACAAAATTGAAGCTACTTTATTATAAATAATTTTTCTGATCTTAAGCGAAACAATCCAGCTTTCAATGAATATGCTTCAACATTCTTCAAATTTTAGGCAATGCCCACAAAAATGGCTAGAGTGTGCACTTAACAGAATTCTAAAGAATAAAGAAAAACAATTAAGTAATTAAGCATGTGCGAAATATTTAAATCTTTCATATTGAGAAAAGTAACAAAGAAAACAAAAGAAACAAACAACAACAACAATAGCTGCTCAACTGTTTAACTGTGTGTGTGCGTGTGTCAGTGCGCTGCTTTGCATGCCAAAGCTGCTGCCTCTGCCGGCGTCAACGCTGGTCGCCGGCGCTTGCCATTCAAACACATTAACATAATATGAGCTAATGTGAGAGCAGCAAAAGCGCACATGCACAATGCACACACACACTCACATAGGTTGAGAGCGTGAGAGAAGGAGTGAGAGTGACATCGAGACCGGCATAATTGCACACATTTAATTAAGCATGTGAAAATACAATTTCAATTTTTTCATAATTTAGAAAAGAGAACAAAGAAAACAAGAAAACGAATACAATAAAAGCTGTGGAATGTTTTCGTGTGTGTGTGCTAATTTATATGCCAAATGTAGGAACAGCTGGTGCTGCCGCTGCCGCTGCCGCTGCCTCTCTCGACGTCGACGCCTACGCCAACGTACATTAACATAATATGAGCTAATAACAGCGCACACAAGCAAATGAACAGAGAGCGTGACTGAGGAAGAGAGAGAGTGAGAGAGAGAGACCGGCATAATTGTTGGCGCACATTTAAGCGGACACAGACATTTGCCAGACGCAAAAAGTAGGCTATCGAAAAAAAAGTAGTAGGCCCATGGAGAAAAAAAGTAGTGGCTGCCAAAGCAGATGTGTAATGGCAGAATAATGTGAGCGAGGGTGCGGCATGCTTACTTAACACAGAGACACAGACACAGACGCAGACACACAGCCAGACAGATAGAAGTACTTAAACATATGGGCATTGCACAATGATAAAGCAATCAAAAACACAAGCGGAGTAAATACTGGGGGAAAGGAAAAGTAGCAGAAGATGGTATGGAAAGAGTTTGGAAATAAAACGAATTGATGAAGGTAAAGTGTGTTTAAAGAAGAAGAAGAAGAAGCATAAATATGTAGACACTTGTTGATTGTTGAGGAATTTGTTGATTTTTAAATAAATAATGAACAATATATAAAATATATATACATATATATATATATATATATATATTTATTGCTGAAAATGTATGTATGTATTTATATATACAATTAATTGTTTTTTTGGCATTCGAACTTGGCTAACTTATTATGTCACATTGTTAACAGCGAAATTAGTGCTAAATTAGATGAATGAGTGCTCAACCGGTTTATGGCATCATCGCAGCTGACTGAGGACTGGGGAACGTGTGAGTGTGGAACATTTCACATGTGATGGGCGTGGCTGCGTGGGGCGGCGAGCGCAGCGTTTGATTGCGCCATCAAAGCTAAGGGGCAGATGTTGACACAGACATTGAGCTGCAGATTGGAAGTTAAATTGTCGAAGCATAATAAAGGGAGTTGTTTAAGATGGGCGTGTGAGCCCTGCTCCTGCTCCTGCTCCTGCTTCTTCTCCATGCACGCCTCTGCTCTATGCATTTCAAATTTTTGTGTTGCCATTGGCAATGCAAAACCAATACATATACATACACAGATAAATATAGAATCTATATATATATATATATTTTGAATTTCTATTGTTTTGGCAGCTGCCAGATGGGGCCTATCACTTATATTTGGAGGCTGACTTCTGGCCTGTTGCTATTTCAATTGGAATTCTGAATTACAATGTTTATTTTGGTTGCATTTATCGCTGCTAAGACGTGACTTACATATACCCTGTAAGCAGCGAAAGGGCGGTATGAACGAATACATTTGGCTATGCAGCAACTGCTACTAAGACTCATATCTAAATAGTATATAAGCCGAATAAAAATCTTTTTTACAGGGTATCTTCATAGTCGTGTGATGACTATGAGCGGGCTGTATTTAGTCATTGTTGCCTTTGGTTTGCTTTGTCTCTCGTCTCGTTTACTTGGCACACATATTGAATTGAACATTTCATTGGCAAACTTTGTCTCCTTCTCATGTCGCTTGGGTCTTGTCTCATGCCCCTCCCTTCTCTCTTGTCTGTTTGTCTGTTGTCCCATGTGGTGGCGTGCAATAAATTGCAATGATATTATTGTTATAGCACAAGCAATCAACATTAACATTTATTTAGGCAAATGCCAAGAGAAGCCAAGCCAAACAGCATTGCTTGCTCCTACCCCCACCCCCCCCGTATGCTCTATGTGCATTCTCTGTGCACTCTATGCACATCAAGTATACGCCTGAGCATTGTGTGCAACCCTGGGAAAAGTCTCTGTGAAATTTAACGTCTCAGTGGAGCAATTAGCAATGAAATGTTTGACTTTGATAAGTGCTGAAAACCTTTTTATGATATTAGCAATATGTTGGTGCAGTCATCTCTCGAAACCGGGAATTCTCTTTGCTGCTCTTCTTTTGTCTCTGACCTTGCTTTATTTCTAACTCATTATAATTAGTGATTTTCACCTGTGTTGGTCTCATTTGCATTTGCTTTCAGTATACACCTAGCAACTGGTTTCGCATGTTTCACTTTCCTCTATCTCTCCTTCTTTTTCTTTTTCTCTGCCTCTTTTCACATAATTCTTTCAATTACTTTCCATTTCACAAGATCTTTCACATTATTTGCATAATATTTGCAGCTCATTTGCATTTAAAGTTTGAAACTCTGTTAGCAACAGAACGGCGTAAGCGATTAACAGAATATGCCATACAAATTAGCTAACAGTATAAATCTATGTAAAGCTAAAGCTTAACAGCTGTTGCATATAGCCCGCTTTAGCCACAATTAAATTTTGTTGGAAATTATTCATCAAATTATTCTTTATGCATTCCACGAATATTTATTTTTTACGCCTCTTCACTATGACTAATTCTGATATTTATAGCCGTGAAAGATATACGGCCACTACGCCGACTCCTGCTCAGCTCTTACCTGTTGACATGCCCCATTTGTCTATTGAACTAGTTACACGTAAATGTCAGGTCATAATACCCCGGGCCAAAGGCACGTTCGACACTCATTCGACAGTTGGCTGTCATTGACACAGACCTCTGCGCGTCTGGCAGGAGGAGCAGGAAAACTGTTGCGTGTCGCTGTCATAAGGAAATGCCCGAACCGCAGGAATTACTGTCGGGCTGACCAGCCCAATGATATATGGAGCTGGAGATGAATGTGTAGGAATATGATGTATGACAGATAGCGCCAGGTGTGTTGCCTGACCAAATGGCATAACACTCAAATACTTTTTCGCTTTTACCGCGAATGCAAATGAGCTTAGAAATTTACACATAAAAATGGCGACACTTTATGACAGTCAAAAACACAGAATAACGAAGAAACGTAACTAGATGAAGGGTATGCAATCAAATGACGTCATCCGAGTGATATTCGTCAGTACAGAGCAGAGCAGCTATTAGGCCACATTAAATGCGTAAAGTGACATTTAACTGGGCGTTGAGTAATTGCGAAATGCCGCTTACGTGTCCTTTTAAATAAATTAAATTAAGAGAAAAAAAAAACAGTCCGAACTAAGTTCAACACGTGCCAACCACCTGCAGCCACACAGCCACACAGCTGCCATCTGCCAGCTCCCTCCTCGCTCCTCCCTTCTCCCGTCTCCTGCTAGCTGGCAATATTGCCTTAAATCGCGTTCAATGTGTTTTGTTTCGTTTGCATCAGCCAAATTGTTTGTCAATGGCAACATCAACAGTCCAAGCGCAACACATGTCGTATGTGTAATATCCACTGACAACGCCCGCTCTGGCTCCCCACCTCACCTCTCCTCGCACGCCTAACCAGCCATCGCACTACACTATCAATTTATGTGCTTCCACTGAGCTTTTATGCATTTACAGTGGCTTGAATTGCGATTG